GAAATCAAAAGTTAAATCAATTTTGGTGTGAAAAATATTTCAAATCCTTGCTTGTGAGAGATTATATATATATATATATATACATGGATATATATATCCATGTATGTGTAGATGAATATATAATTGGGAGGGGATATTAGAATCTACAATATATTAATAGTGTAGATTATTTCTCTGTTATGAGGCATGGTTGATTTATGGATGACTGCATGACATGGTGGTTATGCCATGGAGTAAGCCACTGACTCTGATTCTCAAGTCCATAACTTATTACTGTGTGCCTTTCAGTACATTTTGCTCTTTTTTTCCATAGGTAAAACAGGAATAATATTAGCATCTGCCTCCTGGCTTGTGAACAAAATTAAAGGGGATGCCATACACCTACAAGGGGTCTTTTAAAAATTTGTGGGGCAGGTGTTGTGGCACAGGGAGTTCAACCACAGACGTTCACATCCCGTACCAGAGTGTGAGTCTGAGTCCCTGCAGGGCTTCTGATCCTGCTTCTTTCATTTTTTTTTAAAGATTTATTTACTTATTTGAAAGGCAGAGTTACACAAAGGCAGAAGTACAAAGAGAGGTCTTCCATCTGCTGGTTCACTCCCTAAATGGTTGGGACTATCTGAAGTCAGGAGCCAGGAACCAGGAGCTTTCTCTAGGTCTCCCATGCCTGTGCAGGGGCCTAAGGACTTGAGCCATCTTCTGCTGCTTTCCCAGGCCATAGCAGAGAGCTGGATCAGAAGTGGAACAGCCAGGACACGAACCAGAGCCCATATAGGATGCCAATGCTGCAGGCGGTGGCCTTACCCTTTATGCCACAGTGCACTGACCCTGATCCTGCTTCTTTCTTGCTTGCTTTCTTTCCTTTTTTTAAAAAGGTTTTATTTATTTATTTATTTATTTGAGAGAGTTACAGGCAATGAGAGGGAGAGACAGAGAAAGGTCCTCGTTTCATCTGTTCACTCTCCAAATGGCCACAATGGCCGGAGCTGCGCCAATCCGAAGACACGAGCCAGGTGCTTCCTCTCGGTCTCCCATGCAGATGCAGGGACCCAATCACTTGGGCCATCCTCCAATGCTCTCCCAGGCTACAGAAGAGAGCTGGATAGGAAGAGGGGCAGCTGGGACCAGAACCGGCGCCCATATTGGATGCCACAGGTGGAGGATTAACTTACTGCACCATGGAGCTGGCTCCCTGCTTCTTTCTAATGCATCCTGGAAAGCAACAGATAATGGTTCAAGTACTTGGGTCTCCTGCCACCCATGTGAAAAACTTGGTAGGAGTTCCAGGGTCCTAGCTTTGGCCTTGCCCTGCCCTTTTGTTGGCATTTGGGGAGTGAACCAGTAGATAGAAGATCTCTCTGTTGCTCTGGCTTTCAAGTAGATGAAATTAATAAACATTTTTTAAGATCATGGAAAATAAGCATTATGAAAAAAATCTCTGGATATTTACTAAAATATTTTAGTACCAAAATAAATTTATCCTTTAATTTTTTTCTATTAACTTTTTTATATAGTCTGGTAAAACAAGTGTCAAGGTCATTGCACATAGTAATTCCTCAAATATGGCAGCTATTAGTTGCATTTTTTCTTTTAGACTTCCTGAAATGTTCAAATTTTCTAAAAACATTTATGTTTCCTAGTCGAAAATAGAAATAAAAACACATCAGTCTTATTAAAATAATGTTAGAATAAGTTTAACTATCTTTTTAGCCAGTGACTTGGTAGTAGGACTGGTGATAAGTAAACTATTGATAGTTAGCTACATTTTAATCTGTTTTAATTTAGCAATAATGTGATAAAATATTACCCATCTCACTCTCTCCCCATGCTTTCATAATAAGGTCTAGACTCTGGGCTAAGTGGTCAGAGCCACGAAATGGTATCTCAGCTGTCTCACTGTTCTGAAACCCATACATGTTCCAAGAGTCTCCATTTTTCTTACCTGGCCCTTCCTCAAAGGGATTTTTCCTATTCTCACTGTTCTTACCTTCCCAGGTGATTGAGAGATAAAACTACAAGTCTGAAACCATTAGCAAAACGGGATGCATGCAAAGAGGCATAATGGGAATTGCATAAAAAGGTCAGAGCTCCTGGTATAGTCAAGAGAGGGAGGAGGTGGAAATTGTGTTAGGCCCTGAGGGATCAATATTCATAATATAGGTTAAAGGTATATGCCCATAAAGGCATTTGCCTAAAAAGGCAATAAAATGGCAGTGTTTCCTGCCCTTCAAGCCTCTAAACGTTTTTGTTTTATTTTTTTAATGAGTGGGAAAAAAATTTTAACTGTTCTACAGTTTCACCACTATACTTTCTTTTCTTGTGTTGCCACACTTTCATTGACTTTTATGATGGCATTAAAATATTTCCCGGGCATTATAGCTACTTCCATCCAATGAGAGAGTTTCAAAGCAGTGAAGTAAATATGCAAATAAAGGACTAAAAACATCTGAGAATGCAGTTGCAGGACCTCCCACTCCCACAAATATGCACAGCCTCTCGGAGCACACAAAGGCTTGTGTAGAAATCCCTACAGAATTCTTCTTCCCTAAGTAAATAATTTCCAGTCCTATCACTGCATAAAATTTCCCACTGGAGGGCATGGTTCAGAGTTACTGTCATCACATTCATAGCTCTTTGCAGCTGAGAGATTGTTTTAATTATAATACAGAGTGCAATTTAGTAGAACCAAACAAAATGTGGATGCCATTGGATAATAGGCATGCATCTTAACAGGCACCCATTGATTTTTGAGACCTCAATTCCCTGCTCGTTGGTCTTGAGAGGGTATAAGCCAGCTAAAAACATATTTGAAGGGAAAGTAGTTTGGAGTATTCTCTAGAGGACCTCTAAGTTCCCTTGGAAAATAAGATTCTATAGCAATACCAACCATTTCCCAGGTACATATTGGGTGCTGAGTTTCCATTTATTTCTTCAACAGGTAACGATTAGGCATTTATACTTTGCCAGGCACTGGGGATACAATGCTGAGCAGCACAGGAACTTCCTGCCCTTGGCTGGCTCATAGTCTGGAGAGCAGAAGGTCAACCAATGAAAATCAAGTCTGTAGTTAAGTGTGTCACCAAGAAGGAGAAGAGTTGAAGGATGCATAGAAAGGATTTGTCTTACTTATCATGATCAAGGAAGCTTTACATGGAATTATTGACTGAGCTAAGATCTGATGAAGAAGCAAGCATTCAATAGATAATGTGGTGTGAGAGAACAAGGCAAACATGAGTCAGGCTTCCAAGATCAGTTTGATTCTCACAGAAGGAATACAGATGAGTGTTGTAACAGAGGAAGGAGCCACATCATTTGGACCTTTTCTAATAATCCATGGGTCACAAATTGTAACACCATCCTGTGAATGATATCCTCACTTTGTACAATAGGAAAATGAAACTTAGGAAATTGATGGACTGACCTAAGGTCACAGAGCTAGTAGATATCAATGGTGGGATTGGAACAAGATTTATCAACTTCTGAGCTTAGATTTTCAATGAATTCTCCCAAGAATTCACAGTTCTCCATTGACACATTGTCCAGTAGATGTTCCCTCTGGGTGACCCACTAAGGATAACTTTATTCTCTGGTTCCCAGTTCCAATTCACTGCTCCTTTGCACACAGTGTACCAAGGGGAGGATACTGTGCTGTGATATCTGCTGCTCTGCTAGCTCAGATGTCTACTTCACCCCTCAGTGTGGAATCCCTGTTCTAGATATCTACTTTTTAGTTTTCTGATCAGAGTTGTCAAGATCCAGAGCTCTCTTGAAAGACTATGGCACCTCCCACCTCCCAGGAAATAAATGGTCAGTTACATCAGTTAGTTAATATAATGAAATGCCTGGAGCAGGCTAAATTTTTACAGAAAAGAGGTTTATTTTGGCCAACGGTCTGGAGGTTCTGTTCAGGATTAGGCAGTCTCTATTAGTTTGGCCCTGGTGGTGGCCTTGTTTCTGACAGAGTCCTGAGATAGTACACAGCCTCAAATGGCAAAAGACGGGGCCAAGGGCATCTGGTTCTATCTCTTTCTGTAAGTATAAGGTTGCTTATAAGCTACTAGGATTGGATCTTATGGTCTCCACCTAATGACCAAATCTAATCTAACCACTTTCCACAGGTCTCACATCCAAATACCATAATTGGATTGTTTCTACTCTCTTAGTACCATGGACATAAGACTTTGGGGCCTAAACTCCTAGTTCAGTGGAACACTGTTGCATTGATATAGGCCCTTTGTTCTTGTTTGCTGAGTAGGAATAGCAACATGGGCTGTTTTGTATGTGCCATTTTACCTCATGGCAACTTTAATGAGCCACCCACTGAGGTTGAGATGTCTTCTTATTCCCTTTTTACAAATAAGGGAATGGAAAGTTGTCAAATTTAAGTCACTTGCCTTGGGTCATGCAGTTTACAAATGACAGAAGTGAGATTTGAATCAGATTTGTCTGAAACTAAAGCCAAATTTTTAATGATGTCTCAAAAACTTAACTTTAAAAAGAAGAATTAGTGTTTTAAGAGAATTGGTGAAATAACAAAATCCCTAAAAAGGTTGCATACTGGTATGTACTATAATTCCAGAATAATTATATTGTTAAACAAGGAAGAACTTGTCATGAAAAGATTCTCTGTGGCTTTGACACCAATTATGGATGCTTTAGGAAATCAGTGTGATTTCCTAAATTAAGATATCAAGTTTAAGATGCAGGATGGTTCTTTTAACAGAAATGGCTCACTTCCCAAAGACTAAGGAGATATATATTTTGAGGCAGCATGCACGTACGTATGTGTGTGTGTGGGGGGGGGGTGTTTGCTGGGGGTACAGAGTGTCACTGGGATTGTTGGAAAGAGAGTGAAAAAAGTGAAAATAAAACATTCTATATTCATAATCTTTGAAAAATGTCAAGTTTATTTTCAAAGTTCATGTGGTAAGAGGGGGTGAAGGGTGGGGAAGACATTGCCTTGTTAAGAGAGACCATCCACAGAACAAGATGGTGACTCTGCAATGCTACATTTCTTCCTTTCTAAAGAAGGAAGATTTTCCTTCACAGTGCATTTATTTCAAAATTCTAAAACCTCTCACATCAGCCTGTCGTATCAGCCTTGTCAAGTCTCACTTGTTGAAATGATTGCGATTTGAAAACTTCTGAGTGTGCTCTTACATTTTCCATTTATGCTCTAGGAGTAAGAATACATGAAAATGAGGTCAAGAGTTGCAGGGGGTGGGGAACTGAAGGGAAAGGCAGCTTTGAATGAGTGAAAACAAATAGGTTGATTATTCAGATGGTAGCCTCCTTGAAGGAATGAGTAAGGACCTTGATATTAAGCTGTACTTTATTTTGTATTTATTTTTTACCTTTATTGCCTTAATTAAACTACTTTCTACAGCAAATGTTGAGTTTAAATGAAAGAATCCAACTTTCCTTTGCTTCCAAACTGCATACAATTTAAATGTAATTTATCTTCTTAAAATAACAATATAGATAAATGTTGGCATTTCTTAAAAAAAAAACTAGCAAAAAAAACAAAGAAGTAACAATTTAAAAAAGGATCCTTCATTAAGATTTTACAACTTCCAGAAAGCAAATTTGACTTTTATATTGTTTGTGATACTGCATCTGTGAGCCTAACCCTAATTTATTCTTCACCTAAATTCTATGAAATAGAGGATGCTGGGCAAAGGAATACTCAGATTTTTTTTTAGTGGGGGTAGAGATTATTTGCTGATGTTAGAAAATCCACATAACTGTCCACTTCTCTTTCTATAATTCGTAGTATTTTCTGCAAGTTAACTCCTTCAACGTTGATCGAGATGATTATTTGGTGAAGATGCTTCTTAAGTAAATAACCAATTTTTTCTCATCAATAGACCAAATGTTTTCCTCTAGGAGCCAGTAGAGGGAGCTGTTGGCATTCGATTAGGCATTATAACTCGACCTGGAAGTTTCCTTAATTAATGCAATGTTTGAAATCAAACCACCGTTTAAATGTAATGATATTAATATGCAAGAATAGATGTGTAAACGTGGAGATTTTCCATTCCCATTAAACTTTCTACACAACCACAGATTTCTGGTTTCTCTGTGGGCCCCTTTGAGAGAACTTATGTTATAGAAATGTTGGCTGCTATAAATTAAAGCTGCTTAAAATTGAGTTCATGCACCTAGGCAATGATTCAACATTTCTAAGACTGATTGCAAGTCAAGAAAGAAAGCAGCTTCTTCTTCCAGCTCTTAAAAAAAAGAAGGCAAGAGAGATGTCTGGCCTAGAATGATATGACGTTTTAAAAAGAAAAATGGTATATGCTCGTTGTATAATAAATTTGAGTCTCTTTAACTAGAGGGAAGAATTCTTGGTGTTAAGGTTCTGGGTACATGCGATGTAATCTTGTGATGGAATATGGCATATTGGTTTTCCTTATAGTCCTTCCACTTCAAGTTCATTTCCATGGCCATGGGTTCTAAATGATTTCTTTCACAGCCTAGGATTTACAAGATACTTTCACTTTCTGTACTTAGATTTTAGTTAAAATAGATTGCTAAGTAACAATTTCCAAGCACCTCACCCAAGTATTATCTTTATCTCAATAGTCAAAAATGCAGTGGATACATATAAACCAGTTTTAACAGTCTCCAGACATCCAAGCAGAGAGCCTCTGAGAACCGCCCTGTGGGCACCCACTTATCATACTCCCCAGGTAAGAGGAAGGTGGGAGAGATGTAGAAATAATCATTCTGATTCACCTAAATTCTTTTTCTCCCGAAATAAAGGTCAAAATAAACTATTGAACATTAAGACCAATGACTTTCAAAACATAATAGCTTACCAAAGTTGAACTGGAAAATTATTTGAAAAGGTAAAGAAAGCAGTGTTCTATTTTGATGTGAATTAGCAAATGATCAGTAAACACACCACCCACTGGCTGCCAATCGATTTAAGATTTCTTTACTAGATGACACTGAGAGCATAATAGAAGTAGGATTAATTGTGTTCCTGTATACATATAAAAGTGCCCCTTTCTTGGGACAGTGCAAGGCATTGCAATTTGCAAACTAAATTATAAAACAAAGTCATTTCCCATCTTCACGAAACATGTGGAGATTCTTGGAAAGAAAAAGATATATGTATATATATATATATATTTGAAATCTGAATTTGGACAATGTTCTGTACTATTTCTAGGTAGTGTGTACTGTCTCAGATCACTTAGGCTCCTTAATATATCGTTTGGTCTGTTTTGTGTTCCTTTCTGGGCCTAACCAATCAAAATTAATTTTGCTGCTTTTTCTGAGAGGTTTTGAGTAGGAAAAATGGACTATGTAGGTAGAATTGCAAGTCAAGAAAAAGTGCTGTATTGAACTTCTTGAATGATTTAGTTAGGACAAAAACCCCTAGCACTCTTAAAAATAGAATTTTAGGTGAGATTTTGTCTCATGTGAAGCATTAATTTTAACAGAGATTTATATATAAGCTCTCATTTGAATAATAATGTAAAATTAAATTTAAATTGTAAATAACGTCCAGATACTAGTTGTTTCCTGGCTCAAATTCTTTAGCACATATGGTGCTAGCATAAGCTTGTGCCTGTCTGCCTACTCTGGGTAATTTTGCATGCAAATAGTTTTAGTGCCTATGTTGAGGTGCTAAAACGTGTTTAGTACACTTGAAAATATTTGCATTGCAAAAGGAGAGTGAATCTCCTGAGGAAAATCAAATTGATATTTCATATTAAGAGACCACTTTGGGTACTGTGTGGCATTCTTCTAGGGAGAATTCTGTTTACAGTGCAACTAGCATTTTTAATTGACCTTTCGAAAAGAAGGTCTGGCTATAGCTTTGCCAGGTTTATAAACCGTTGGACCATCTTCTGGCAGCAATCAGCACATTAATCAGGAGGAGAGAGAAAGAGAAGGAAAGAATCGACTTGCCTTGGCTGGACTGCAGCTTTTCATGCCTCAGTTTGGTGGCTTGGTAGGATAAATATGCTAATTATGATGGAAAGTTTCAGCTGGAATGCGCCTAACTAATTAGCTAACTAACTAACCCACTAACTCAGGAAAGGCTGGGGCTAGTGCAGCGGAGCAGCAGTGGATGCTGGGTGTGAGGCCCCACACACGCTTCCATTTGCCTCAGTCCCATCTGCTGCATTTACGGGAACCAGTTCGTTAAGAGTCTGAATTGAATCCAAATAAAATGCATTTCTGATGCAAGCCCGATGACTGGTGCCATTCTACGCTGCATTATGTCAAATTAGAGTTCGTTTGGAAAAGAGGTTACAGAGATCCTACGTAAATGCCGCTCGCATAGAACATTGATGGAATGAGTTCTGTACAAATTCAACATCCAATTTCTCTAAACAAATCAAACCCTCCCTCTGGATTTGGCCCCTGTTCACCAAGACCGACAAAAAATTTAGAACCCCTAATAAGGGAATAAATAAAATACAAGCAGCTTGCTCTTAAGAGGTTTGTGGAACTTTTCTTGTAACTGTTGTTCTATGTTTTTGGAGAATTTTATTGTATTGCATAGACTCTGTCGGGTGTTGAATGTCCTTATAAAATGAAACTAAGTTCAGTATCCCTAAGAGAAACAGATGATACCAGGTCTCTAAGAGGAATTCAAATTGGGGGACAGAACTGCACCTCCCTCCTCTGTCGAGAAGTGATGCCAGATGGAATCTTAATAGCTCCCATTGTTGTAGAGCGGCTCCATCGCTTGCAGCCCAAGCACGGTGCAAGACTTGCCTACTATAGATGCTTATATTGGCTAAAGCTCTGGGGTGTGATCCAGACTTTCTCCCCGTATTTTACTCATTCATGCCTAATATTTTATTCTTTCATCTCTGCCACTTCCCACCATGTGCAAGGTGCAGTATTCTTTTCTGACAATGAACAGCCAGAGACAGGTAGCAGGCAGAAGCTAAAAGAAACTCATTATGAACAAGAAGAGGTTGACTTTCTGTGCTAGTAAAGCTCCTGTTTGCAGCCTGTGTTCTTAATACAATCTCAAAATCAAAAACAAAGAAAAAAACTCCAGCCTCTTGTCTGTGGGACCCTGGCACATCAATCAATCTATTAAGTAAGTAAATAAGGCAATAACAAAACAATAAATCATTTTGAATTTCATGCATGCATAAACCTTTTGATACATAAATGACAAGGAAGGTGTCGATTCTGAGCTACAACCTCTGTTCCAGTAGTTTTGCATATAAGATGAAGAGTTGTTCTAAACTGTGCTGCATTGTTCATTCTGGTGCCCAAATCATGGGGCTCCTTTCATCCATTTGGTGGTGATGGTGTGTGTATGATGCTTGGCACAGGAGTTGTGCGTGTGTGTGTGTGAGTGAGTGTTGTATGTGTGGCACAGAGGGGGCATGCTGTGAGGGGGAAGCCTACCACACATTTCTGCCATCACAGACGGTGGGCAAACAGCTGTCTCCACAGCTGAGGCCACTGGAACTGCCTGTGCTGCTCCACTAGCTCGAGAGCACCCGGCTGCTCTGGGGATGGCACAGAGCTCAGTGCCTGCAGCCCAGCGCCGGAGCTTTCAGGGGCTGAGCAGGCGGGGACTTTGCCACCAGACACAAGGAGCATGTGAAATGGGGTCTCATGAATAATTTATCTTTGGTGTCCTATGAAACAAAGAAATGATATGTTTGCTGGTAGATAACTGTGTTGTGGCATGTGTAAATCTGGATTTGGAGTTGAGCATGTTTCTTGTGTTGGAGGAGAAATTGTGTGTGTGTGTGTGTGTGTGTGTGTTTCTAAAACAAAAAGTTGGGAGCTTAGCAAAATAATTGCACAGTGCAGGTCTTCCATAAAATATTGGAAGGGGTATACTGATTTGGCTCACGATTTCAGGATTATTAAAAATCTCATTGAGTGAAGAGGGATGTCAAAATGGTTTTACTGCAGTAAACTACAGCAGGACACCAAGTTCTCAAGGAGACTATTTTTGCCTTGGTAGGCAATCAGCCCACTTTTACTAATGCCAGTTTCATTACTGCAGACTAGAAGACAGTGTGCCTCCAGCAACACACTACCGCATCCGGAGGAACAATTCTTCACTTTCACCAAAATATTAGTAAAAATGATACTTTGGTGAATTGAGCCCTAAATAGTTTTAGTGACAGTTAAATACCCACTAATTTAACACCAGTTAAATTGACAATAAAATCACCACCAACCGAGTTAAGCCACCAGCCTATTCCTGCACAATAGCTGCAGACCCAATGCCAGGGAACTCTAAAGCCACAGGGTAGAGTTGATTCATTTGCCTAACAAATATTTTTAGAGTATTATATATAGTAGCAGCAATTCAAACTTATCATAATTGTTATTTATAATTACTATCTGTGTATTCATTTCATTCATTCCTTAATGTCCCAGAGAAAAAAAAAAGAAAATGACTTAATAGTTCTTCATTATCTTTGAAATGACAACCTGGCAAAACAAATCATGGTGATGTGCTCTGTCATCTCTCCAATAATTATCTCAAATCTGTCTTCTATTATTCACTCATGCTTTCTCCATAGCGCTTGTTCTTTTTTCCTCATTTATGTTATTTGCAGTATCTCCTTGCAGTCCCCTTAGCTTTCAGGTTGCCCATGAATTATTGTGTACCCATAAACCTCACACAATCTGATATGTTTGGCAGGGAAAGAAGGCACGATGATTTTGCTGAAAGAAAAAAAAAACAATCAAAAACAAAATATGGGTCTGCTAATTACACACTGGGGTGAAAATACAATTCCTTCTAGCTTTCAGGTGAGGAGTTGGCAGTGGGGGTATGAATTGGTAGGGAGTGGGACTTCCAGGAAAAAGAAAAGTAGTGAATGTTGTGTGTGTGTGTGTTTTTTGTTCCTCATTTCCTTAAGCTCCAATAAAGTACTACATGGTAGCATCACTACATATACATTGAAGTAATGACTGCCTCTTTTAAACCTTGGTTGTACAGGATTAAGATTGAAAATAAAAATTATTATGTTCCATAAATTGCTTCTTATCTATTGAAAAGATAATAGATTTCCAGGGGAGATAAGAGCTAAATAAGTAGTAACAATATCCTGGGGTCAGTGACATAATTATTAGGAATAGAAGTGGCAGTCTTAAGATGACAAAGCAAAACAGATCCTTAAAAGGCCAGGCAGAGGAAACAAGAATTTTTCTCACTTCCTATTCACTGCTTCTGTCACTTCCACTACCTGGCTGTGTACTTTATTTTAGTAGGAGACTGTGGAAGTTTCTGACATCTCTTCTGAGCTTACGTGCTTCTTCAGGTTCAGCTGGTTATTGAAAGGGCCTGGATTGCTAGAATTTTCTGGAATATAATCACTTGCATTTACAACATTTTGTTTCTAGTATGGAAAAGAATCCTTTGTAAAAAAAAAAAAAAGTGACAGGCAAATCCATGCCTCTGATTAGGAATATTCTATCATTTAAATATCTGAGAACTATAAGGAAAATTAAGTGAAAGGTACTTAAGGATGTGCACTGTAAGACAAATAGTAATCAGAGAGGAGAAACCACAGCTTAAAAAAGTGAGATGATATTTATAGTGACAAAAAACAGAATCTTTGGATGAAAGACACTTGTATTTGAATCCTATCTATGCTAACACAGAAATTTAAACACCCTGAATACATATCCTCATCTGTAAACTGAGACTAAGATGCATACCTCTCAATATTTTTGAAGTCAGAGCTAGTGACCTACAAATGGAAAGCAAGCAGGTCGTTTGTAACCCTCTGCACATGTCAGAAGCACCTAGTGAGCTTTGAAAAGCACTGCTGCCCTGCTCCCACCTATCACCAACTAAACCTGAGTATCTGGGGAATGAGCTTTGCTATTATAGCTTTTAAAAGCTCCCAGGTAGGGGCCAGCACTGTGGTGTAGCAGGTAAAGCCCCTGTCTGCGGTTCCAGCATTCCATATGGGCGCCACTTCCCATCCAGCTCTCTGCTGTGGCCTGGGAAAGCAGCAGAAGATGGCCCAATTCCTTGGGCCCCTGCACCCGTGTGGGAGACCTGGAAGAAGCTCTTGGCTTCATATCGGCACAGCTCTGGCCATTGCAGCCAATTGGGGAGTGAACCAGCGGATGGAAGACTCTCTCTCTCTCACTGTCTCTCTTTTTCTCTCTGGGTAACTCTGACTTTCAAATAAATAAATAAATCTGGAAAAAAAAAATGCCCCCAGTTTTTCTAGTGTGCAGGCAAGGACTGGAACAACTGATGGAAATGTCTAAAACTCTGAAAATATTCTCTAATTCTCATTATTAGCTTAATGGGAGCACAGATTTATATTCCTGGAAGGAATCCTCAGGGCCAATTAATCCATCTTCAAGCTTTGAAGGTAAAGGAGCTGAGATTAGGAGGATTAGTTAAGTGAACCTGGCCATATAGTTAATGATGGAGGAAAGCCTGGGACCCCAGTATTCCTGTAAGAATTTTGGAATTGTCTTCTCCAGCATTACTTTGGAAAAGTGAAAAGTTCTTGGCTAAGGCTAAGCTTTATCTTCCTCTTGCTTCTTTCTTTTCTCAGCAGTACTTTGTGGCAGTGAGGATAAAACGAATGTCAGAAGCGAAGGAGTAAGCGCTCAACTATTGTCTTCTTTAGCTTGGTCTGGTAGCATTCATTCACAGTAACTCCTGCGCAGAAAACGGAATCTCAGCGTCCTTCCACAAGGAGGGCACATGCTTCAGTCATGTGGGTTCTGGCACTTGGTGTCATAATACTCCCCACAGAGCATTTCTGATGATACCAGTATGGAAAAGCTGAGCAATTTACCGCAGTGCAGGTACGAGTCATCATATAGGTACTTTTAATTTTTAATTACTCTTAAAATATTTTTAATAATCAGTAGCAATACCACTAATTGGCATGTAAGCCATTCTTGCACCAGCAGGCAAACTGTAGGTTTACTTCTGCACACCCACACCCAATCAACTGAAAATTGCTGGAATGCTTATCTTATAATTACTGTACTTAATGTTTGCATTGTCTGGAAGCTTTTGTGATTAATTGATTTTTTTTAACCTCTGAACCTGTATATGGAACAACAACATCTTATTTACATTGAATTGTTTAGACATATATCAAGGGAAAATAATGGTTTTGTGTTTATCTACTAGATGTAGTTCTTCTGTTTATACTATAGTTTCATAGATCTCATGTAGATTTGAAAGACTCTAAACTATATACCTGTCTTTCTGGTTCTTTCCTCAATACTCTATAATGCAGTACACATATTTTTAGGCCATCTCTCAGCCTCTCTACTTCTTTGTATCTTCCATACCTTGATTTAAAAAATACTTATGGGTAAAGAGCAATAACTTGAGAATGTTTCTATGAAAATAGGGTCCAATATAGTTAATTGCTCCTTGAGAGAAATTGATGTATGTTTGTGCCAGTAATTGGGCTTCAGATCTGAAAGTGGTAGTCACAGTTCAGCATAGGAAAACATCATGAAATAAACTTAGATCATTAGTATGGTAAGGCAACAGTAGAAATAAGTGATGCATCTGCCAATATTCTCAAAATAGTAAATGGCAAAAGAAATTTTATGAGAGAGGCAAAAGATAAAAATTTGACTTTATAATTATAGGCTATTATATATTGGTTATTAACTGATGCTAGATGAAGACATGAATGTGAATATTCCTTATTCTGTTGATTCACACACTCTTTGAATAGTCATTGGGAAAACAATGTGCCAAGCAGTGTGCTGGGCAAAAGAGGATACAAAAAGAATAAGACATTGCAGGGGAAAAAACTGGTCTTTGCAACCAGAAAAAAAAAAATCAGTCTGGATTCTTGGTTCCATAGCTGAGTAATGGTGATACTTTAAGAAACTTATTTTTCTCTCTCAGAAAATCATTTTTGTCACTTGAAGAGTAGAGATACTAACACCTACCTTGAAATAACATTTTGAATATTAAATGAAATAATGTGTATGAAGAATTTTGTACTATTCTGGTATGCCCAATTTACTAAATGCATATACACTAGAATTTTAATTAGCTCAAAGATCTCATAGTCCAGTGAGATAATGAGATCTGTCACTTACAGGGTTTTTTGATTG